GGAGAGAGTCCAGTGAAGGGCCACAAAGATGATTAAGGGTCTAGTTTGAGACTGTTCAGTCTGGAGAAGAGAAGGCTCAGGGGTGATACTATCAGTGTGTATAAATACCTGAAGGGAAGATGCAAAGAGGATGGAGCTTGTCTCTTTTCAGTGGTGCTCAATGACAGGACCAGAGGCAATGGGCACCAAATGAAACACAGAAGTTCACTTTTTTTAATGTGAGAGTGACAAAGCACTGGCACAGGCTGTCCACGAAGATTGTGGAGTGTCCATCCCCGGAGATATTCAAAAGCCACATGGACATGGTCCTGGGCAACTGGCTCTAGATGGCTCTGACTGAACAGAGAAGTTGGACCAGATGAGTTCTAGAGGTCCCTTCCAACCTCAACCATCTGTTATTCTACAAATATTAAAACGTTTGGTACGAATGTGCTTTATGTAAGACACTTAATGTCTTCAAAGGAAGGGAATAGTCCTGGTTTGATACATAGTGACATGTAATGTAAATCACTTTACAAGATCTTTGCACTCCCTAGTAACTCTACTTTGCCCTTTTGGTAGTCTGCCAGACTTAAGTCTCCTGCAGGCCTCCTGTTCCTGACTTATGCTTTTGTGAACTTCTTTAGCTATTTGCCCTCATATTTTCCTTTGTGCACGCTGCCTCAGGCAGTTTATGCTATTCTAATTGTTGCGCTAATTGTCGAGGCAGAAGCAGAAGAGGTGTTTACTCTGCCTATCTGGCTGGCCAAGTTTTCTTTTTCCAAGAGTTTTCTAATATAAATAGTTAAAATAAAAAACCAAAACAGCAGGTTGTGGCCCTTTTTTAAGAGTCTGTCTGTTCACTTCAGGTTGCCTCCAAAGAAATTATTTAACTGATAGAGTGAAAAAGAACAGGCCTCTGCACCCTTTCAGACAAAAATGTTAAGGGCTGAGTGTTGACTTGTTTAGCCTTGCCAAAGGAAGACTGAGGGACACAAGGGGGGTCAGATCTCTTGCTATAAATACCACAGGGAGAAAAAAGTTATTCATGCTAAGAGACAATGCTGGCATAAGAGCAACTACACATAAACCAGCTGTGAATGCATTCAGTATGGATACTGAAAGCAGATTTTCACCCACTGGAGCAAAGAGACCCCAGAGCAGCCTTCAAAGAGAAGCAACAGCAGCACACACATGCATAATGGCATCCAAGTTCAAGAACAAGAGTTCAACAGTAGACTGGACTCTGACACAGAAGATCAATTTACTGTTGCATCCCTGTCATCTGTTCCACATTATAATTGATTCCGACAAAGGATGAATACTTCTAATTAATAACTCTCTGGCACATGTTATGCCCATGTACAAACCTTACAATAGCCTGTAGTGATGAATAATAGTCAAGCACACTGAACGAAAAATTCCTGACAGTCTATGCCTCATAGAAAAGGCATCAGCATAACATACCAGAGTTTACCAGTCTCAGAAATAATCCCAGTAAAGCATGCATATAATTCAACCTTCAATGTGTGGCTGATGCACAGAATTTGTACTCAGAGAACTATTTCAGGTAGAGTTAGATTTCTCACCCCCCTCATACTCCTCTGGAAGCTTTTCCAATGTAGTCACTGTGGAGGCACAGTTGAACTGGTACACACATCTCAGAAGTGACATAGTATATTCTTCCTTCTTACACTGAAATACGCAATGCAGGCAAAAGGCACCTTTATACCATTATAACCACAAATGAACTAGGACAATCATACACTTTAAGTAGACTTGAACCATTAACACAGACTCATGCGAAGTCAAGTCCCTGAAGGAAATCTTTAAAAAACAAACCTAAACCCCTGCTACAGCTCACAACTCATTCTTATTTCACCAAGAAGGTTTTGAATGCCAGAAGTTAGCTTGCTTTCAGAACAGACCGCTCTTTAACACCACGTTGTGAAATTTCACGTTCATCCTTTTATTATAATCTGAATAGAGGCGGTATCTGCAAAGCAGAGAAAATGACTACACAAAGAGTTTATAGAACATTCATTTACATATTGGAGACCTTTTGATGTTTCTTTACAGTTTCAAGAAAAAGGCAAAAGTTTTCACTAATAGGTAAATCTAAGAAGGAAACATTATATTTTTAATGATACTGCTGAATATAGGCAAACCATTTAATTAAAAACATGGCTTTTAGCATTTTTGCAGTTTAACACTGTATGATTATAGTAGTACATTTACTAAGCAGGTTAATAGGAGTCTGGCTAAATACATGTGTCAACTTGCTGCTGTTAGTTATGAAACTGCATATACACACCTACCAAAAACCTTGAAAAAAAGTGCTGTATTAACTATTTAGTCTTGTATTTGCCATGAATTTAAGTTTCGTATCTTTCCACATACACTACACAATGGTACATACTGAACTATTTTGCTTTGTGCATCTTTTAATTCATTACAAAGAAAAAGCATGTGGCAATATACCATCCAAAGGAATGCGAAATAGAAAACCTCCCTTAGAAACAGGGCAACTTTTTTTTTCCACTTACCAAGTAGAGCTAAACTCCCAGGGACCACCACCAGGAGTGTCAGCGTTCAATTCCTTAGGCTCTTGAATTCAGCAGGTCTTGAGCAAGAATAACAAATAAAAAATAAGGCCCTGAATGGAAAGGATAATATATGGGGAAACAGAAAAAAGACACTATTTTCAGCCCAAAGGCCACCACTTGGTGTCTAACAAAGACACACTAAAATTTAAGTATCATCTACACAAATGAAAAAATACAGTAAAAAACTCCTTACTTCAATGCTCACATCAGATTTAAATCTAATTGAGATGTCAGCTGAAGAAATTCACTGAGCTCCAACTGTCCAACTAGATTAGGCAACTGAGTTCTTGGTGCATCAAAAGAATATTAAAAGGAAACTTGTCCTTACATGTTTCAAAAGTATCAATGCTCCTAAAATTAAGAACTGCATTCTTTTTTGGATGGTACACAAACACTGTTTAAGTAATATGCCTCTGTGTCAGAAGAACAGAATTATTTAGTACAAATTAGAGGCACTTGCCTTTGTTGCTTCAATGGTAGCTACTATACTTTGGATTGCTTCACCTTTCCACACACATCCAATGCACACTGCTACTACTACAACACCATTCTCTGGACCAAATATATTGAACTTCAAATCTTTCTTCTCTCTTCCACATCTCCTTCCTTTTAAAGTATGAAGTTATTTATATAAATTTCATAGTTACACAAATAATTTGGTAACACTTTGTCTATAGTCACTGAATAAGGTTTCCATGGTCCTAATACTTTAGGAAATAAGAAGAGAGCTGTTAACAAAATAAAAGATCATAATTTATGCAGGACAAATGTAGTTCAAATTGGTGTAACCTTCTTACCACACAGCCCAAACAGAGTCTCCCATTCCATCTAAGCATTATTTAGTACAAGTGGTTAAAAGGACTAAATTCTCCAACTGTGCACCGTTACTAGTTAATCCAGTGCCTCCTGCACTGGCATATCTAATTCTGCATAGCATTTTATTCCTCAGGTTATTAACATAATGTTGACAGCCATAAATCAAAGAAACAGTGACAATAAAACTTTTCAACACCATCACACTGAAGCTGCTTTATTACCATCTGTTCCGATATTGCGGTTTAGTACTGCTCTTTTTAGAGTGAATGGGACTTACACAGTAGACCTCAGCAGCTTACTCTTCTTGAAAATTTCCACTGTGACCTATGCCATCAATTTTCTGTAAAGCTAACTACCACTTTGTTACGCATTTAAAATATCAATGTGTTTAGAAAGACACAGAGATATTTACAAGTATGATGGTTGCAGAAATCATGACATAAACACTCTCCAGAACTGGGACAGAATAAGAAAATGAATTCTATTCCCTTTTGGACTTCCTGACTCAAGACATTATTAAAAAAAAAATTATAAACCAAAAATAGTTCCCACAGATTAAAAAAAAAGCCAAAAAGTACCCTAAACTCTAATAAAAAGGGGGCAAAAACTCCAATAAATATTATTATGTATTAGGTAGGCGAACAAATGTTACTACCAAAACTGCACTGTGAGACAGGAGATGGGAAGTATCATGTCACTGTAAGACAAAAGCCAAAATATGAGACTATTCTCTTTAGCAAGGCACAGGCTATATACTCTTTTACTTATGCAAAAGCAAAGCTTGAGCAAAGTTCAACAATGGTTAAGTTTAAGAATATGCACATAACATATAAAGATCTGAGATCTGCTATAAATAATCTGGCACAGGTAAAAATATATAATTTATAAAAGTTTCTTCTTTGCTTTTCCCTCATATTTATCCTGTTATTATTAAAATACAGAATCTTCCCCGCTTAGTTCTGTGTAGAAAAATAATACCAAAAAAAATTACCAAAGTTTTCAACACAACCTTTTTTTCTTTCTGCCTATTTAAATTTTTTCAAACTAAACCAGCTCAGCCTTTTTAACACTAAATCCATAGAAATCTACCTGAATATTCCACATTGCCACTCCTTTCTCATGAGAAATCAACTTGCACGAACCTTCTCTTCACGTACGCCTTTTCCTTTCTCCATTCAGTTCCCATCACTGATCACATAAAGATGAAGAGCAAATAGTCTTCCTCAGATCATCATTTTCTTAAGAGCATGGTCGCAAGGCCTACAGCTACCATTGATGCAACTATGGCAAGTGTCTTTGCGGAGGGTATACAAAAACATGTTCTGCACAGAAATGTAGCATAGCCTAGCAAGTATTTCTGCTCCAATAAATGATGAGCAACAGCCTGTGAAAATACATTAGAAACCCTTCAGGAGAAAAGTTTTTCATTTATGCTTCATTCAGGTATGAGTAACGTGGGTTCTGGTGACACCCAGCTTCTATTGTTTTGCCCTTTGATATAAACTCAATGAAATAATGGTCTGCTACGTCAGAGGCATCTTCAAAGAAAAGGCTGAACTCTTGTAAACACAATGCAAACAGACCATCCTCTGCTTTCCTTCTTGGGATTGACAAGGTTCAGAATTTGCTGCTGAATAGGCTTTTACCCCTCACAGTGCTTTCCTTCAGTGAAGTCAGTGAAGAGCTCTGAGTCAAGGATGGAAAAGTATCAGATCTTCTTCTGGGATCCGATCATGACCTTTGATACAAAGTTCACAATGGCACTGGCAGGTTGCTCTGGATCGTGCTCTGCAAATAGGTGGCATACGTTGTCTGTGGCACTGCCTTGCTTCCTAGCAATGAACCCAAATACCCTGCAATGGCAACAATCACGGTGTATCAGTGAACAGACATGCATTGCCTCTCTTCACAAAGCAAAAAAATACTGCAGAAACCAAAAGCATAAATCAAACTTCATCTGTTCTGATGGACAAAGTCCTCTGTGACTGCTGAACACAGTGGTCCTGAGGCACAGGCCAAACTCAGGAGTTTCTGAGAGGTTCAGGATTGTCTGTCCCCTTCCTTCTATTCTTGTCTATATTGCATTCTGTACTGTTTGCTGCCAGAGGCATGCTGCTGACCCTGAGAACGTATTTAATCTGATGCAATATTGCTGCTCTCTCATCTACCTTGGCCAATATTGCTGCCCTCTCATCTACCTTGGCCAATGTGTGGTGTGGTGTGTCAGGAGGTGTGGTGTGTCAGGTTCTGAGGAACACACATCTCAGTGGACAGAGTAGAATCACAGAATGGCCTAAGCTGGAAGGGACCTTAGAGATCATTAAATCCAGCCTCCCTGCCGCCAGGGACGCCACCTCTCGACTAGATCAGGCAACACATGCGGACCGAACGGGAATCCGACCCACGACCTTAGCTCAGTGGTTTGAGCACGGTGCTGACAATGACCAACACCGAGGTAACGGGTTTGATTCCCGCTCAGTCCCCGTGTGTTGCCTGGTCTAGTGGAGAGGTGGCGTCCCTGCCCACAACAGGGAGGTTGGACTCGATGATCTCTAAGGTCCCTTCCAGCCTAGGCCATTCTATGATTCTATGACCTTGGCGTTGTTAGCGCCACACTCAACTGACTGAGCTAACAGGCCCTCTTACTGGAAATACGTCTTAAGCCATCTATTTCTGTTCACTTCCACAAACCAGTCTCTGTTTAGGTTTTTTTCTTTTGATAAAAGGGGAAAAACAATGTTTGCCTTCAAAAGAAAACACTTTGCAATCGACTGTTAATTATGCCATACACTATTTATTATACTTCTAGTATTACTAGAAGCGTTTTACCCATGTACATTGTGGGAGATTTTTTTTTACAAAGTTATCAGTCTAAGTGAGACAAGTAAACTTGTGTTAGTATTGCTGGAGAAGTGGAGCACAAAAGCAAATAGCAAATGGCTCTGTTTTCATTTCTGAAATTTTATTCAAATCACAGATCTGCAACCTAAATAAACCATGCTAGCTCTGGTTCCAGACATCATACCATCACATACTTAGGCCCTGACTTGGACAGGTGCAGATGAAGTAACTGAAGTCTAATTACAGTGGGCAGAGAGACTTTTGTCTCTGAACAGCTGTTTTGCCTTCCAGATCTCTGAAAAAGATAATGTAGAAAACTAAAAACTGATCCCTATAATGATCTTAAAACATTGCTAAAAGAAACTCAGACAGGTGTCCACTTACTTTGCAGAAAGGCCATCTTTCATCCATCTTGTTGTCCATTAAGAAAGCAGTAAAAAGGAATGGAGAAATAAAGATTAAATCTATGCTAGTTTTTTTTAGAGATTAACAATACAAACAACGTATTAGAAATATGGCTTGTCTTCCTTACTTTCTGTCCTGTGGATCCAAAGCACAGAAAATAACAGTGTTGACTGGATAATGCCGTCGGAAGAAAAGTCTGGATAGGAAGAAATAAAGCAAATTTTAGGAATAGTTAAAATACTCAAAATTTTAAACAATAAAGAGACTTGAAAAATGAATTATATTTAATATAAATTTAATAATGATGATATATTCTTTTTCCTATAGCTGAGTGACACTGAAAGCCACCTGAACTGCTCCAACCAAATAAATCCATATTTAGAACAGTGATGCCAAGTTTTTGAATTAAAAAAACCCCCAATCTCACAGTAAGAAAAAGAACTAGAAGTATGAAATGTATTGTTTCTAAAACCTGGCTATTTAGATAGAATGTCAGTGGTAAATACAAGTTCTTGGACCTCGTGGATAATTTGACTATATTAAGTTTCAGAAACATAAGCAGTCTTCGGCATTACAATTCAAGGCTTTGTCCTTCATCTGCTATGAATGCTTGCACGCTCCATTGAATTAAAGAGTCTGACAGTTTTCAAATGTTAAAAACTTTGTGGTAGCCTTAAGAGCATTCAGTACAGAGTAAATACAAACTAACTTCTTATCCGAGTATTTTACAGGCTATTCAAAGCACTACTTCAAATACTGGAGACACAGTCATGGAATCATAGACTTGTCAGGGTTGGAAGGTACCTTAAAGATCATCTAGTTTCAACCCCCCTGCCATGGGCAGTGTCTGCTTAGGCCAACCCTATTCAGTGCTACCGGTGAAAGACACTGGGAAAATAAGTTACTTCACTGAACAGGCTGAATATAAAATGCCGGGAAAGCCATTACTTCCCCTTTTTATAAGAAACAACTGAAAAAATGCCATGGCAAAGTGACCTTGGGGAGGTAAAAGCTGACATATGTAAGGAATGTCTATAGCTTAAAACATTCATTCTCCAGTACTGCCAACAGCTGACACTCTCACCATCTCTTCAGACAATCCTATTATCCTCTGAGATAGACGCTGCAGAACATGACTAAGAAAAATCAAATCAACAGCAGCCAACACTTGCTGGAGACAAGGCTGGACATTCTCTTCCCATCCTTCTTGTGCTTACTTTCTTTGATTATCTGTCAACGTGATTCCCTGTGCAGACACCTTGAAATGGACAACAGTTGAGATAGGAGAAGGATCTTGCATCAGCGTCAGGCTCAAGGCTTTCTGTACTGCCTGGTAGCCTGTGAGGGACTCCATCTCCACTGAATTCAGGTACCAAACGTTACAAGCTGTAATGAAAGCAGGGAAAGACTTTGAGAGGGCATTACCCAATAGCAAGCAAATGTGTATCTTCTGATCAAAACCAAACAAAATGTAAATCTTCAATCTTTCTAAACCAAACAAGGATGAATGGCAGCCAACTACTTTGTCCCACTGTTGCTTTATCGTTTATAATTTTGAGGGTCATAGGTCTTTTGCTGTCTCTTTCGTTTTAATACCTTTATATTTAATCCAATGACTGTATTTATCAATTACCCACAGCTCCTGAAACTTAAATAAATACAAGACAGCAGCAGAGAGAGCACTCACAGATACTACCACAGCAAAAGCATTCCTAAGGGTAAGAATGGGGATTTTTTGCTTTTATGTTCAATTACTACAGCCAATAAGAAAACACACATTTTTGCAGCATACATTCACACATTTTACACTTTCAAATGGTATTTAAACTATATTTCAGGAAAACCATTCACTTATTTAGGAAGACAAGAATGTTTTCACCACATAAAAAATAAGGGTTGCTGCAAAGCTCACTTCTCATTAATTCCGTAGTATTTTTGTATGTTTAACAGTTTTAGGGCAAACAAAATTTCCACATTGGGAAAAGCTACTGACTTATATATTTTTAGGTCTATTTTTTACCCCAGCATGCACTGATTTTTAAAAGCCCTGTTTCTCTCCTACAGATACTAGTAACTTCTGAAGTATCTCTATAAAATAGAAGCTTATTGATTTCTAAGGGAACTGATCAGTTTGGATTGTTATCTGGTCTCATGACAAATCTGCAGTGAGCACTAAGAAAAGAAGTACTAATATTAAAGAGCATTATACAGTAGGACTACAGTACTGTATAATACTACATAGTAACTGACATATAACATTATATGTTATATATGGTATTAATAGAATTATTCACAAGCTTAAATACTTTGGGATTGTGGTATAAAGTCAAATTTACAAGTAGATTAAGAATATTTTTGAAACAGAAAAGCCCCCTTGGTCTTATTCTACAGTATAAGCAAGAGCAATTAAACACATCCATAGCTAGACACTCGTAACAACCGACTTTGTGTTTTGGTAAAAACATTACAAGTTACCATCATAATATTTCATCTGCTTAGCAGTTTAGACTGTCTTGTCAACCTTACTATGGAAGCAAAGACCAAATTAAATCTAATAGCTTCTCATATGGCTATTCTGTAAATTGACTAAAGCTTTCTGCTATGATGATCTACAGAAGATATACACTGGCACTTTCAAAACAACGAAGCAACTGTACAGTTAAAGACTGCATAAGCGTTTGATTTCAGCATGACAATCATCTCAGTAACTTCGTGCTCTGGAATCTGTCAGTCAAAGAAAGGATCCAGAGATTTATTTGATTTGTACGTGTAAACTTACCCAAATGTATTTGCACACTGGTGTGATAGTTTCAAGAACATGTTTGAATCAATTACTATACAGTTCATGCAAAGACAGATTTAAGATGATGAATGGCAAGTTCAATGAGGTCCTCCTCACTGAACAGCTTTCTGTCATGTTTATCCAAAATTTTAAATAACATTCCAAACCAAAAGCTCTCCCCTCATCATTACTGCTTACGTTTGGTACAGATCTAAAGCTCTACATTATCCTGCACGCCTTTACCACTACAGGAAGGTTGCCTTGTTTCACAATCACATTCCTCAACACTTCTGAGACCCAGATGAAGGGTTTCCCTTTCTCTTATGCCACGCATTGCATCGGTGTTAACAGGTTGTGTTTATGTTTTGTTTCTAAATGAAATAGCCAACCATTTTGTCTAGATTGCCCTCAGTGTGATAGACCAAAAGCAGTCACCAAACACAGTAGATTCCTTTATTTTTGTAGCACAAAAAATAATGAACGGAACCTTTTTCAAAAGTGTTGGTAAGTACAAATAAAGCTTAAAGTGCAAATAAAGCTTAAAAAGGAGATTACAGGAAAGGAAAAGTAATGAGAAAGGCTGAAAGATTTCTCATTTACGAAAATCATGGTCTGGTAGGCTATCAAATGACAGGAACCCCACAGAAACCATACTCATGGCTAGAAAAAAAGGAAGACATCTGTGTCTTTCATGCAGTGCAGCTGTCCTGCAGTATTGCTGCTCTGATCTTCCACAGGTGGCATTTTGGAATCACGTCAGTGCTACCACCAACAGCTACAAAACATGGCTATTTCAAGTAACCCCTGCTGCTTTTAGACTGGGAATATGCTTCTTTCAGAGTGCTTAGCCCCTCAAATGTATTAGTGGAAACACATATGAAGAACTAGGATTCACCTGGGGCAGAAAATTTTGTTGGATGAATAGAAATGTTAATAAAGCAAGGTCTGCTCTAGGGGAAAGCCACTCATCTGTATAGTTTCTAGTCTTCAATTGTCACTTTCCAGGAAGCAAATGGTTTCTGGTCAGGTTCTATATTTTAGATAATGACTAGTAATGCTCATTAGGTTTTTCAGACCTGTGCAGCCCAGTGTTTCAGTTATAAATACAATCATTCTAGTAAAATACATCTTCGGTTTTTGCTTGTGGAGTAGGAGAAGGATGGGATAAAGTAGGGCAACGAAAAAGTGCATTTGCTTTGACTAAACTGCAGGTGCTCAGATAGTGGAAAAGTAACAATTTACATGTTTCCGGTCTGCACTTCAGTGTTCAACTCCACAACTTGAATGTTGCTATGTTTGGAGAGAGACCTCTGAGACATGGAAAATCAGTGGGAAATTACATACCAAGGCAAAAAGTCCTCTGAAAATCTCTCCTAGCTAATGTATCTACTTAGGTTCCAAACCCTTATTTAAAAACAAACCCAAAAAAACAGGGAAAACCCAAATGTACTAAGTTCCCAAAATTGATCCATAATGTGACAACCCCCCTAACGGATTATATGACTCGTTATATGGCTTGCGATTGCCTCAGGCACACATTCCTGATTCATTACAGCACTCTCAAGTGGTACTTCAGATTTTTAAGTCAAATCAGACTATTGCACAAGCAAGGAGCAACAATCTCTTTCTCTCTCTCCATTCAGCTTGGCAACTGGCAACTTCAGAAGTGCCCCAAAATGGGTGAAGGAAATGGGGTAACATTGTTATAAAGGCCACAACACTTCTGCTTGAGGCTCCAGTGGTAGGCTAAACTCAAAGGAGTGGCAAATGTAGCATATTCTCCTGCTTCAATGGGACTAATCGGGTGGACAGATAGATCCTGGTGAAAATTCATAGCAGCCTGAAAAACAGTGACCATGGCAGGGCATGGACAGGATTCTCTCATATCCTGTGGCTGCATTTCTACGAAGGAAGCCTTACGATTACAAAGGGGTACTCAGAGCACCATGTCCAAAAACGGTGGGTTAGGATGCCAACACACTTACTCAGGCAGGCTATCTCACTAGCTGTCTCTGAGTGAGTTGCACACAAACAAAGCAGATGAGAAGCAAAGCATGTCTCTACACTCCTGCTACAAATATTTATGTATTAGAGTGGTACAGAGCATACAGATGCATAGCATCACATCATTTGGAGGTAATCTCATCAGGGTTTTCCTGTTCCATCAGTAAATTCATGGCAGGACAACTTAACTTCCCAGAATGGGTGCTGCTGTATGCATGAGAATCCATTGCCCAGAGATGTTGCGGCTGCCCCCTCCTTGGAGGTGTTCAAGGCCAAGCTGGATGGAGCCTTGAGTATCATGATCTAGTTGAGAGGCATCCCTGCACATGACAGGGAGGTTGGACTAGATGATCTCTAAGGTCCCTTCCAGCCTATGCCATTCTATGATTCTATGAAAAAGACACTGGACATTTCCTAACAATATGTAGCACCAAGTGGTTTTTATATTTTTTTTTTCAGATTGATGGGACAGTAAGCATTTTACAGTGGTATTGTTGACTCTCCCATGCTAAGAGTTTAACTCTATTGAACATCTTTCTTAGTTGCCATTTGCAGACCTCAGATATAGCTCATGAACCTCTGCAACCACAGGTTGAAAATACATTCTCTAAGTTAATCGATTATGCAAGCAGTGTCACCACTTAAAAATCGCTGTGCTTGAACCAACCTATGTGTACCCCTATTCTCATGGGAGATACGACTGGAAAGCAAACACAGGGTTGTAGAACTTAGAAGTTGGTTGCAGGAAACAGAGAGAACATGGTACATATCCTCACAGTGTCCTTTACACTTTTACACAGCACTCTAAATTTAAACTGTTTCCTTTAAACACTCTCAGTGCAGTCTAAGCTTCAGCTTCTCCCAGCCTGTAAGATACAAAATTTGGTGAACAGTTAAATGAAAAGAAAACGTTTAACAGACCTGCACCCTGTTTGAGAAGCTCCGCTGCTGAGTTTGCAGCAGTTTGTGGAGAAGTTTCTGCTATCTCCTCCAAGGGATCTGCAAAAAGAAAACACTGTCCATGTCTTGTTTGGACTTGATAAATCAATGCACAAGATCAAGTACGAGTTTAGCTTTTGTACTGGACAACTCTTGGCCAGAAACATGAAACAATCCTGCATGTGCAACTACTATCATTCATGTGGTTTTTGTGCTGCATCTTTATTTTTGCCTCTGGCACTGCAGGAGGGATGTTCAACCTTTATTTCCTGATGTAACTACATATCACATGCTGCAGGGACAAATATGATGTCACATTAAAACAATACTAATAGCTATTTCCCTAACTACACACTCAGATTTTTTTCTATAGTGCAATTTTAATAATTTAATGTGCATAATTCACACTCATTTAGGCATAAAGACTTTGTTTCTATGATGAAATCAATTCTTTTTCAGTTCAGTAACACAATCCTTTTTTCATACTTAATGCAGATAACAAGCATCTTAACTATTAACACAGCACTGCATCATGAGAGCAGACAGCCTCTCAATCTTCTCTTAAAGTTAGTTAGAAAACTGTCCATTGGTATGTTAAATCAATTATATAAATGCATGTTAAAAGACCCCACTTCTTGCCGTATTTAACATGATGCATGCTCTCTCTGAACACATTCAAATGAGGCAGAGAGCAGTAATACAGTAACACTATTCACACGTTTAGAGTTATCCATATGCTTTAATTAATCCATACACAGTGCACAGAATCATTAACCATAGAAGATCATCTTAAAAAGTGATAAAACCAAAATAAAATTTCACCGTGGTATGTTTATTTGGGACAAAAGTTTCAGTTCTGCACTTCTGCCAGAACAGAAGGAGCTTTCCATTTTAGGTGAGGCGGATAAGGAGAACAAACCCACCTACCACGTTGGTTTGTCATATAAAGAGATCTCTGGTTACATCTACCATAGCATGTTTTTGTGCTAAAGCGGTTTCATTAATCTATTTGAATAATTCAAATGTTATGTTTAAACACTAACATATGGCCTTTAACAAAAGTTTAAAGATTTCACTAGAAAAAACCACAAGAATGTTTAATATTTCAATAATACATCTGGTGTTAACTTCATGTGGGAGAGTAACAGACAACTGAATTATGTGGCAAGCACAGCTACATTTTGCTGTTGTCTTAAGAGTGGTTTATGAAATCATAACCAAAATCAGAGCTACAGCCTGAGGATGTAACTAACACAGGCATTTTGACCATTTATGTGAACAACACTTGGACCTGTGTAACCTGCTACTTCCTTTCTGCTAGTGTCACACTCTGTTCTTTACCTGTTTGCCTTCCTTGAAGCCCTTTTACCACTCAGACCTGAATGAGTGTTTACATCTAACCATACATGGGCATAATTTCATGTCTTAGAAGTACATTTGTCTTTCTACATGCTGGATTACTGTGCGGATTTCCACGACGCATATACGTTTAAAACTAGAATATCACAGTACTAGTCTGTTCACAACTACAGCGTGGATAAGCACCATAAGAAGCACTGAAAACCCACTTCTAAAACACAGCTTCCTTCCCTCTGCATTCTTGCTTAGATCCTGACTTTTGACATGTTCACCTGCCTTCAGAAACTGGCACCTTGAAACAGCTTGGCTGTAATTTAACAAGCATACCTCTGTCTGGAATGAGAAGCTTGCATGGCAATGCCAGTGGGGTGATGGAATGCTGATACACCAGAGCTGTCAAACTCCCTGTGGTCAGAAGAGTAATAAGACATGCACAGTTAATTTGGTGGACAAAAGGAATGCTTAACAGTTATACTGGCTTTCAAGTATTTTATAGACCTAGCAGCCTCCCCCACTGCCCTTAAAGAAAAAGAATCCTCTTGGCACCTAAGGCAAGACCTTCTTGTCAACTTTCACTGTCCCAGTTGCATGTACATGAACTCATTAATCACAGTCATGCACTCTTTACCTCCTTAAACACACTGCTTAAATCCTCACATAAATGGTTAAATGGCTTTAAATGAAGAAAGTACAAAAATGACAAAACCAGTAACATATGGAAGTCAGTAAACTCCTTGTACTGCTTTTAACTTCTGATACATTAAATGTATTAAAATGTCATGAAGATGGTAAGAGCACAAGGGGTCAATGCTATGTGATGAGTCATGGAAAGAGCAAAGAGTTATGCCTCCTAGCCACCTCGTCTCCACTGTCTAGTGTTTGTCTACATGCATCTCTATTCTATGCTTCTAAAAGTGTAACAGATGGTCTAGATAAAACCTTCTACATTCAATACAGCAGCAACGTATGTAGCATTCTCTATTAATTTATTCTTCTTTTCTATTCAAAGTCACTTTTGTCATTTGGACTTGGCTTAATTAAAATAATTAAACATTAGCTGTTCTTGACATTAGCAAGCGAGACTCTAAGGCATGAGAGGATGGCATAATATTCATCAGTCTGTTTGTACAAAAAGCCATCCTTCGATCCTGTTTACTAATGAACACTGAACACTGTAATCACGCATCTGAGAAAAATCAGTTCATACCAAAACCCACCTTGTTTTTACAGCCCATCAAAAATGTCTTTGAAATAGAAAGATGTCCCAATTCTGTAAGGGTCTTACAGAAACATATGATCAATACAATTAGTCCTTCACTGTCTTATCCATACAAGTGTGCAATAGTGCCTGCCCATCTACTTTGTGAAGTAGTAGACACTGAAAGGTCAGGAGATGCTCAAACTAAATGATTACTAGGTCTAAATATGGGCCATGTTGGGCACTCCTGTAGCAAAGGGGTAAAGGGATCTTTGCATAAGAGTCAGCAGGGCTCGCTGAAAGAGCTTGAAACTAGATTTGAAGAAGGAAAGGGATGAAACAAGGCTCACTGGAGATAAGCCTGGGACAGCACACCCATGTTTGAGGGACAGTGTGCTAGCAAGGTCCTTTGGTCTGGCAACTCAGTGCAGGCAGAAGATGGAGATCCATGTATTGATGTGTCAGAAACCACAGAAGTGTCTGCGAACAGATTTGTAGGAATAAGGGCTTCTTCTCCCAGAAAGGTGGCAAGATCAGTAACTCATCTGCAGTGCATTTACATCAATGCACACAGCACTGGGAATGAACAGAAGGAGATGAAAGCCACTGCACAACAAGAAAACTGACATAGTTGCCAACATGGAACCACGATGGAATGACCCACACAACCAGAATGATGCAATGGATGGCTATAAACTCTTCAGAAGGTAAGGAAGGAGAGGTGGTGGGGCAGCCCTGTATTAGTAAGAGTTGTGACTATCTAGAGCTTGATGATGGTAAAGATGAGGTTGAGTGTTTATAGGTAAGAATCATGGGAAAAGCCAAAAAGGCAGATAGGAGTCTGTTAGAGACCACCCAACCAGGACGAAGAGGCAGACAAAATACTCTATAAGAAGCTGAGAGAAGTCTTACAATCACTAGCCCTTGTTCTTGTGGGGGACTTCAACTTACTAGATGTCTGCTGGAGATACAGTACAGCAGAGAGGAAACAGTCCAGGCGGCTCCTGGAGCATGTGGAAGAGAACTTCCTGACACAGCTGGTAAGTGAGCCAACTAAGGAGGGCACCCTCTGGACCTTCTCTCTGTAAGCAGAGGTCATGTGGGTGTTGTCCATCCTGGGCATAGCAATCACAGAATGACAAAGTTCTCAATTTTTGGAGAAGGAGGAGGGTCAGCAGAACTGCTATCTCAGACTTCCAAACAGCAGACTTTGCCCTCTGTAGGAGTCTGGTTGACAAAGCCCCTTGGGAGGAAGTCCTGAAGGGCAAAGGTGTCCAGGAAGGAAATCTTAAAGGCACAGGAGTAGGCCATCCCCATGTGCTGAAAGATGAACCAGCAGGGAAAACAACTGTCCTGGATTAACAGAGAGATCTGGCTGGAACTCAGGAAACAAGGAAGCGTTTATGACCTTTGGAAGAAGGGGCAGGCAACTCAGGAGGACTAAAAGGCTTTTGTAAGGTAATATAGGGAAAAAATTAGAAGGGCCAAAGCCCAACTAGAACTTAATTTTGCTACTACTGTAACAGACAATAAAAATGTTTCTAGAAATACATTAGCAACAAGAGGAAGGCTAAGTAGAATCTCCATCCTTTACTGGATGCAGGGTGAAACACAGTGACAAAGGACAAGGCTGAGATATTTAATGCCTTCTTTGCCTGAGTCTTTAATAGTAAGACCAGTTGTCCTCCAGGTACTCAGTCCCCTGAGCCAGAAGAGAGGGAACAGAATGAAGCTCCCATAATCCAAGGGGAAATGATTAGTGACTTGCTGCACCACTTAGACATATACAGGTCTCTAGGGCTGGATGGGATCCAACCAAAGGTACTGAGGGAGCTGGCAGAAGTGCTTTCCACTTTCAACCATTTACCCTCAGTCTTGGCTGGGAGGTCCCAGTGGACTGGAAGTTAGCAAATGTGATGCCCATCTACAAGAAGGAACAGGAGCAGGATCCAGGGATCTACATGTTTGTCCATCTGACTTTGGTGCCGAAGAAAGTTGAGGAGCAGATCATCTTGGATGCCATCATACAGCATGTAGTGGACAACCAGGTGGTCAGGCCTCATCGTCATGGGTTTAAGAAAGGCAGGTCCTGCTTGACTAACTTCATCGCTTTCTATGCAAAAGTGACCTGCTTAGCGGATGAGGTAAAGACTGTGGATGTTATATCCCCGAACCTTAGTAAATCCTTTGATAGTGTTTTCCACAGCATTCTCCTGGAGAAACCGGCTGATCATGTCCTGGAGGGATGTACTCTTTGCTGGGTAAAAAATTGTCTGGATGGCTTGGCCCAGAGAGTGATTTTGAATGGAGTTAAATCCAGTTGGTGACCAGTCACAAGTGGTGTTTGCGAGGGCTCAGTGTTGGGACCAGTTCTGTTTAATATCTTTATCAATGATCTGGATGAGGGGATCTAGTGCACCCTCAGTGAGTTTGCAGGTGACATCAAGTTTGGTGGAAGTGTTGATCTGCTTGAGGATAGGAAGGCTCTTCAGAGCAATCTGGATAGGCCAGATCAATGGGCTGAGGCCAGCTGTTCGAAGTTCAACAAAGCCAAGTGCCAGGTCCTGCTCTTGGGTCACAATCCCATGCAACACTACAGGCCTGGGGATGAGTGTCCTGAAAGCTGCAAAGTGTAGAAGGACGGAGGGGTGGTGGTGGACAGCCAGCTGAACATGAGCCAACAGTGTGCCCAGGTGGCCAAGAAGGCCAACAGCATCCTGGCCTGTATAAGAAATAGTGTGACCAACGGAACTAGGGAAGTGACTGTCCCCATGTACTCTAGCATTAGAGAGGCTGCACCTTGAATACTGTGTTCTGTTTTGGGCCCCTCACTACAAGAAAGACACTGAGGTGCTGGAATATACGCAAAGAATAGCAGTGAACCCCGTGAAGAGTCTAGAGAACAAGTCTTACCAGGAGAGGCTGAGGGAATTGGGGTTTTTTAACTTGGAGAAAAGGAGGCTCAGAGGAGACCTCAGCACTCTCTACAAGGACATGAAAGGAGGCTGTAATGAAGTGGGGCTTGGTCTTTTCTCCCAGGTAACAAGTGACAGGGTAAGAGGAAATGGCCTCAAATTACATCAGGGGATGTTTAGATTGAACATTAGAAAAAATTTCCACACTGAAAGGTTTTTAGGCATTGGAACAGACTGCTCAGGGAAGTGGTTGAGCCATCATCCTTGAAGGTATTTAGAAGACATGTGGATGTGGTGCTTAGTGAGATGGTTTAGTGGTGGACATGGCATTGCTAGGTTAATGGTTGGACTCTATGATCTTAGAGGTCTTTTCCAATGATTTTATGATTCTCTGTAATCATATTACATTAGGTAGGCTGACACAGCATAATGCACTTTGTGAATGTCTCACTCTGGTGTCATTTTAGCCAGCTAGTATAGAAGATAAAAATAGCACAGGACAAAATAAGGCAAAGGTCCTGAATCAGTAAGGCCCGTAACAATCGCATAGCTCAGCTGTCTGCAGCAATATTGGTAGTGGTAGATAAGCTTGACTGTTTGAAGCTTAGTCATGTGCATCTGTGCTGCAGTGACCTGCACGTACACAAGACTCCTATAGTGCTAGAATGGATTCCTACAGAAATCATCAGGACTTCAGCGTTTTTGTACTCATTTGTACTCCATTCAAGTCTATAAAATAGCTCTGGCAAATGCAAACTGCTTCTATTTTCTGTTTCCCTGTGATGCACAGTACTTACCAAAATATGGTTCATTTGGGCATCCTTTCAAGCGCACCCCCTTGTGAGTGCATTCAATCAGAAAATGTCTTACAAGTTCATTTGACAAATCTCCAACTGTGTTGAAAAAGGAAAGGAAAGCTCATGAAGAGAAACAATGAACAGTCTCACAAATTAGCAGGTCTTTATGATGCAGTTTTCCACATTACCACCAAATGTTTTATATATAGCATGCAAAGAATAATGCATTAGACTGGCTTTGCTGCAAGGCTACAAGCTGTAATAAAAAGGACATTTTGAAAAGAAACAAAAAAGTAAGCAAACAGCTCACTTTAGACAAAAAAAAAAAAGGAAAAGGTATTATAATTGTGACTGAATCCAAATATACACAGGTGTCCAAAATGTCCAAGCATGGTCGCAACTACAGACATGGGAACAGAGGTCTGGAAAAGGAACTGTTAAATATTCTGATGTATTTGCCCATTACAAGAACTTGTATCCAATGTGACAAGGAAGTAAAAGTATGATAAAATAATCAGATTTCTAGTGACAGTTCTGCTTGCAGAACTTTTCCAGATTAAAACAACCAAAGATTTAGCTACACAAAGGTAATGATGGCAAGTCTCCCAGTGAATTAAGTTTTAAAATGTCTACAGTTTTATGCTAGATCTTTGGTCCTGAAAACAAACAATTACATCAAACACTCAGGTTTCACTAGATTTTTAAAAAGTTTTTATCTCTCAGGAATCTAGGATAAAGCAAAATTGTTAAGCTGGATGTAATCAGGAGCTTCAAAGTCCAAGAGGCATATAAAAATCCTCTTGAGAGTTAGCATTCTTTTAAACATATATACACATACATATAATTAAGATAAATTCATTATTTCTTGAAAGACTGGTTCACAGTATTTCACACCTGACTATAATTTCTCTCCAAGTAATTAAAGGGTTGTGAATTTCACAGCAATGGGACAGAGCTACCCAACCATTCAAACCCTAACAAAAGAGCCACAAACACAAATGCTCCCTTTGACTCTCATCTATCAGCCACAGTCCAGGAAACACATGACAACAAGGGTTGACTTTCAGGCTAATACAGATGAACAGAATAATTTGTGCAGTAAAAACTTCTCTACAAGCATATATTCCCAAGATCACTTTTTCAAACAGCTTACTGTTTGCTGCTATGCTCTCACGATATTAAAAGTAAATAATTACAAGCAAAAGGGAAGTCTGGAACAAGAAACACTGGAAACTGGACAAATCTGTGCCCTATGAGATGAAACAGTGGGAACCCAAAAGTGAAATATCAGAGCAAGAAGGGAAAGGATGCTAGTCTCAATTAAAATTTTCTCTTACTACTTCTTGTCTGTGGTATAACTAACACAAACTGGCTCTTAAAGACTAGTAGAGTTTGAACTTTCATGTCTTCCTGGAGTTCATTGGTCTTATGGTAAAAAAGAGATTATTAAAAACATCAGTCTCCATTTGTCTCCTTGTTGCTATTACCACCCCAGTGCATCCCAGTTGTCTTCATTAAATAAGACATTGCTGTGGTTCTACTGATATTTCTTGGCAACAGGAAGGATTACACAGCAATTTTTATTAGAAATTGTCTCAAAACAGCAGATTGAGTGTTATTGTAACAGATGGGCTGCTAACCTTGCCCCAGAGTAAGCACAAAATCTTTAAAAATAACAACAAACCAACAGCCAACCAAGCAACAAAGAAAAAATGGACAAAACCACACTTCCATAACCACAACACTGAAAATCACTGCTTTCCTGTGATCTCAGGTGCTTACCTTGCAAGGTAGCATGTACTAAATGAAACATAATTACTTTGTAAAAGGAAAATAGCAGCAATGAAAACCCACCCCAACTATCCTTGCAGTAGCACAAACGGAGCCAAGAACACTACAGATACTGGCTGCTGAGTTTCCATACATTGATTAATGCTTTCTGTATGTTCTTCTCATTTTACCTTTTACAGCTGTCAGGCAGAAGTTATACATGAAGGCACTGGAGCTGGGAGAGTAGGTGCATTTCATCCCTTCTTTTAAACAACTATCATCTTTCCTTAGAAATCCTCCTCACATTTATACGTACAGTAGAACTGTCTCAAAACAAAACCTTAGGTCAAAAATATTCAACTTTCCAGCCAAGTGAAAGATTTACATGGTTCCATGTGGATCGAATGCAGAGTCCTGATTGCTACAGAGAACCCATTACTGAGATGACACTAGTACTCCATTAGGTTGATAAGGTGCAATACATGCACAGCCACAATGAACATTTAGAAGCCATGGTGAAACTGTGAAGTACAAGAGACATCTTACCCAGTCTCATTTAACAAGGTATGAAATGGATCCTGTAATTCAAGTCGCACTTACTGTAAAAAGGGAGATTCCTTCAGATTATTACCCAGTAATAAGGACTTCCAACTATGTATGACTTGTTCAATAATAGACAGAAGGCATACAGTACCTTTCTTGTTTAACTGTAGCACAGAAGGAGGTGGTGTAGCAACTTTCATTGCTAGCCCATAGGCTCCCCGGAAAGAATGACTGTCTCGAACAATGAATGACCCTGGTTCCTTGTCCTTGAGAACAGCAATGGCTGCAAGGGATTCCAGGGAAGAGAGAGAAAAACAGCTCCTGAACAATGCATATACCGAAAAAGTACAGAAGTGTAAATCTATAATTAATAGGAGACTAAAGTAAATAAGGTTTTCCTCTGTTTTCACTCCTGTATAACAGAATACAATCAAACTTATTTGGGGGATATGAGTGGAAACATCTTGTGCAAATCTCAGATACATGTTTCAAGAGAAGCCTGAAATACAGATCCTTACTAATTTTTAAACTGAGAAGGACATGCAGGTCCCACTAGGATTCTTGCAATCAGGGCATAAGAAAGTTGATTCCTGCTTACGTTTTGTCAACTTGCTAGAAGCATGAGAGAGCACAGCTCTCTGTATTTCCCAGGCTGACTATATAACACTTTTTCTTTTCCTGTGCAGCTTCAACAGGCGGAGTAGATCTGTTTTCATCCACTATCAAGCTTCTGTCCCTGCAAAGCAGTCTCACTCCCTTACCAGTTTAAAGCAATGAAGGGATATAAGTGAATATTTGCTCTTTCACTGCCCAAGTATTGAAATATTTTATATCTATATTTTGTGATCTCTGCTGGAAGCATGATATGAAGTCCGTCCCAGGAAAAAACATTCGCAAGGCAACTGCTCTTGCTTTGCTTGAGTCTGCTGCAGACTTTGAAATGTAGTAGCCCAAAATCTGAGACTCACTTGGAAAACAAAACGGTCATCTAATGATCCATCTTAATAAAACCCTAGTACTTTGCTCTTCCCCCTCCACCCTCAAACTTTATGGAAATACTTATGTTTGTTTCCAGAATTTCTAACAATCAGAAAGCCTTCAAAGAAACCCTGGAAAAAGCTTAAACTTGACCGTGGAGTCCTTAACAGTCTGTTAAGGAAAATCAGGAAAATTCAGTCATATTTGTCTCTCTTGTTTAAGCGAGTAAAGCAAATGTATATCTATTCTCTTCTAATCATCTGTCAGATGGTGAAGAAAACACCTATTTTCACAATAAACTGTCATGTGTTGAGATGAGGAGGATGAATATATAAAATCCTGCAATTCAGCAGTACTCGCCTAACACTTCTAAATCTGGAAGGGGACACCAATCATTTGTCATGGGAGCAGTCCATTAAGCACAGGAAAAAAGAACAAGTACTCCCCTCCTCAGAAACTGTATCTTAAAATACATTTTACAAGTAGGGTGAATAGAGGCATAGTAAAAGGTTGGGAAGATTTGTTCAAGCAGCTATGTTTAAATTTCCTTTGTCATTTACTCTCCTCTCTGGACTTGCACCAATACAGGAAATCTTTTTTGCACATTTAAAGACTCAGTTATTATTGGTGGAAAGCAGACAAGGGGAAGGGGCCTGGACTGAAAGGACCAGTAACACATCATCCAAAGACTAATTAATAATCTGTTTTCTGAAATCTTAATTCGCCTGGCTCCATATTTACTACTACACTGTAAAAGGCATCCTCACCATTTGAGAAACTACGAACTAGACAGACACAGCAATCCATTGTTTGCCAGTATCTGAAGGCTATTTTGGTTTAGTGTGAACTTCCCAATGCTGAACTAATTCATCATATTTCCTTTCTGACAACCACCTTTTAAGAATCCCACCTAAAAATCCTGCCATAACTCATTAAATACAACTTAGTACAGCTCTGTATTACAATATAGACACAAGTACGATCAGACTAACTGCATTTGCAAAGCACTCAGTGTGCTTTATTTAAGGAAAAGATATGTTTCACATACATAATAAAAGCTTTCTCCATCTCATTCAATGATACTTCTATATATAGATACACTATATCATACATCATAAAGATGTTGTTGTGAGGGAGTGCTATTTTGTGACCTTTAAGAAATAACATGTCACTTTTAGATGACAATAAAATTCAGGCTACAGAAGCACTGGTAGATGAGGATGCTTTTATGATAACTTTTAGCTAATTAATATATTTTCTGTTTTCTATTTTTATATTTTTATATATCTCTCAATCTATTATCTGCATAGGGAAATACACATGGCTGAGATCATGCCAGAGCAGCAGATTTGTACTCCAAAGGCGCAGACAGTTGTTTGGTATTGCATCACACACATCAGCTGTCATTCCAAACCCTGGAGCTTTTCAGTAAAGTACATTTGCAGCAGCTACCACTGGCAGATTTAAATTACTTTGTAGTTAGTTCAGTTAGGCTAATAATTTTTCTGATTAACTGAATACTTTTTAAGGACTACATGACTCTCCTCCACACTCAAATTCTGTCTTTGGACAAATGAAATTATATGAGGTTTTCTGTGGCCCTTCTAGTTCTTGTACTTCTTCTTGTATTTCTTCTAGATATCAGGTATGCATCACAAAATTTGAGAATTCATCAACTGGCCTTTCTGTGAATGGATATGCCAGAATATGTCTGTCAGTTGATATACCTTGTTCTCTTGAAATATCTGGCTTATACCAAAACTTGGATGTGTCCTGGACAAATTTTACAGTCACGTGTTTATCAGCTGTGTTTTCTGTGAAGTAAAAGGAAAAAAAAAGACAAGACCTTTTTTAAATACAAAAAATTCATGATTACAAGGACATTTTAGAGAAACTCTGAACAATTTTAGAACCGGCAAACAGAACAGCGTACACTAAGATTCTGAAAGCATTCTTCAAGTGTCATTTTGCAAAACTCAAAAAATACGAAAAACATTTACATTTGTAAAGCTGTATTACGTAAAAGGTTCTCAGTGGGGTCCAGTGAATACACATGTACATTTTTAACTACTTGACACAAGCCTAGAGAGGTGCAGAGAGAAGCCAGCCGTTATTAAAAGAAGCTGGACTCCCCACGGCTTGCCTGTGGTTTAACAGTTTAAAAGGCAGGCTGCCCTTTGCTGACATCTAGAGAAGGACAGAAAGAATTCTGCAGTCTTGTTCTCTGAATAATATATCCAAAGTCAGTGAATTGGTGCCACTTACTGCACATATTCAAGTCCTCTGTGCCATTTTCATTCTATCACTTCTTTTCCCTGCATCGCCCCGCTAAAATCCCCTAAATGCTTTTTACAAACTCATATAAAATCTAATGTATTTTGCATTTCTCTAATGCAGAACCTACCTGGCAATGGATAAGTGCCCAACATTTTTGAGAAATCTGGGAGGACATTTGGGAAGGGAATGCTGATTGTGCTTCCACTGTGGGGGCTAGAGAAGCCACTTGAAGAAGGTGACACAGAGACAAAGGAACGGTCCCCTTCAGAGGACCTCTTTTTCTCTGGAATAGGTGGCTGAGCATTTAGGTTCCCTCCATGGTGCTGCTGAAACGCCCTGTTCTGGCTATTGTGTCCAGAGGCCACTGTAAGAAAGTTTTGTGTCAAAAAGCCATTGTCGTCGGCATTTGCCACTGGTGAGCTCATGGTTTTAGGAGAGATGCTAGTATTAGCCATGAAAGTAGCTTGTTTCTCCTCTTGCGGGGAGCTACTGCTCCTGTTGCCCCCACTGAAACTCAGGTAGGCCCGGGCACTGCTGCTGACAGCAGGTTCTTGCTGCAGCTCTGCTGGTGAATTCTCCAGGCTGCTCAGGGTGATGACCTGCAGTCCTGGAGTTTGGAAATGAGACAAGAGAGAGACATCTTGCACAGCATTTGAAAATTCAGAGGGCACAAGGTAACTTCCTGGTGGCCTGCTGTTTCCCACTGAAAGCTGGAGCGACAGGGAATCTTTAGGACTGCCTTCAAGCCAAGGATGTTCTGTTGCAGAAGAGCTGTCAAAAAAACCCAAGAATTGAACACAAAAATAAAACAACAGCCAAGTCATACCCTTAAAATGTCACTGTACAACCCATATTGCAGCAATCTTTGAAAACAATGAATCACCTCACCCAGGACAATACCTGAGGGTGCTCTCTGACACTATGTTGGACCTTGTGATGCAGGTGGATCAAGGGATTCTAGCCTCACCCTGATCACGCATTTCTTCAGTGCAGGTCATTACTTTCTGCATCATCTCACCCTTCACCTAACCATGCCGATGGGGACACCTTCTGAATTTGTACTGTAAACCAGGCCATCAAACTAATCACAGTTAAAAATACTCCTCCTTCCTCCTGTTTGAGAGGGCTACTTATAATATGAATAAATTCAGTGAGGCTGTTCACAGCATTGCTTCACATACAATCGTCCTGGAGATCTCCACATGATGAGCTCAAGTGCTATGTGGAAAAAAGCAGTAGGAGGCAGAAATTCCTTAAGCCAGACTTCCATCAAAGGCAGAAGTGGAAGAAAACTGACACTGCCACAGTAATTCTTACATGCAGTCTCTCTTATGTTTATTTAAAAAATAAAAAGAAATGGGCTAAGGAGGTAGTTCTGCACCATCACACAATAAATTAATAACTGTGATAAGAACACAGTTCACAAGACCTGACTATTCGACTATGCAATTTATATTAAAAAGGGAGGCAGGTCCAGTGTTTACTTTACAAATGATGAAATAATTTGATTGCTAGAATTATATATTACAGCAGTAAACACAAGATTTTTCTACTGCATTGCAATTCCACCTGCTCAAGTGAAGAATAACAAGTATCATTCTAAACAAGACAAACAAAGCTTCTGATGAAACCATCTGAAAAACGTTTAAATTCTCTCCTTGCTTCTAAAAGTGAAATGCCCTAGATTGTAGCTGAAAACATTACCACCAATATCAAATGGAGAGAGAACAAAGTCTTTGGGAGATGCATGGGAAAAGACCTGACGTAAGATATATAAAAACAGAAAGGGTTTTTAATTAAAAGGGAACTTTGGAAATGGATATCAGGAGACTTGAACAGATGAAAGAAATGGAAGGGAAGCAAGTGGAAGACATTGCACAAAAACTCCCCAAACCCAAACACCAAAACCACAGCTGTAGCTATCTGCTAGATCAAATGAAAAATGATAGAAGAATATTTAGAAAGAAGGGAACAAAATTTTCTCGATAAAGTTTCAAGTAGGAACGTAAACTTGATAATGGCTACATTCCCTGAGAAGCTTTTAATTCATATCCACATATAGTGAAATGTTACATTGCCTCCTCCTCAGAAAATACCAACATACTTTGTTTGGTCTTGTGATTCACACTCATAATTACAAAATGAAAACATTCTTTCACAGTCCAAGTACTGACTGAAAATGAAATCTATTAGATAAGAAGATAAATAAAAGGTAAATAGGTATCAACATACTTGCAGTCCTCACTGAGAGTCTGAACACACCAACCAACAGCATTCCAAATACTTACTGTGAAAAAGGAGCCAATTACCAAGAACAAGAATAGGATAATTAGCCACAAAGGAATAGTGTTAAAGAGTGATAGAGAAGGAAACATAATCAGCTGTAACATCTTATCTATTAATATAGGGCACAGCTAATGATTGACCACTCATTGTCATGGTCTTCTGAACCTTCTGACAGTAACCTGGGACTCCCTGTTTGTTTTCTGCGTTTCCTGCTATTTCTGATCTTAAGCTGTAAGCTCCTTGGGAGAAGGACTATTTAGTACATTTATACTACTCAAGCTCTGGTGCAGAGCCCTGCATGTTTACCACAATACAAATATGAAATAATAAATCTCTCAGCCTGTTGAGCATTTGAAAGTGAGCCAACTATTCACTACTAAACCCAAGTCCTCTGATATTTTACTGACTAGAAAAGCATGTACTGCAGTGAAAAGAGTGCCCTTCTCTTTCATATGCAACTTATTCCAATGTGAAATTTCACTAAATGCTTTTCAGTGAAACATTAGAGAAATTGGGTAAACACACAGGAAAATGAGCTTGTGCTAGCACATAATAAAGTGACTGAGCTATAAATTCCTATTTATTTTTGTGCTGCTATTTATCTAATTGCGTTCCTGACGTATAAATAACAACTGTGTATGTGGTACATTCCATCTGGTGGATGACATAATCATTACATGTCTCAACAAAACTTGAAGTCCTTCGACAAATGCTTTGCAAGAACCATGCAAGTGTAACATCTTGCCTGGAAACTACAGTTATGAGAAACAAACAATGAGGCAGGAGAATGTTTTCCTACCTTTCTGCCCCTGGGATAGGACTGTTACTGGAAACACTACACGAAGATACAAAATAGCGCTGAAAGGAGGGATCCGTCTGCATGTTGGCCCTCAGCAAAGCAGGGTTAGTGCCCACAGTGCTGTCAGACATCACCATAGAGTGGTTAATGGCTTCAGCGTAGCTTTGAGACTCTGCAGGAAATGAAACAAAGTAAAATGCAAGTTAAAAACGAACATTTTCATGGACCTTGTACTAAAAGCACTATTTACAAACAATATTTTTCTCTTAATAGGACTAGAAGGAAGAGATTTGTTTGAGCAGTAACATTTTATTTCACAACATTATGTTGACTGCTGAAAACACCGAGCAAGATAAATGGCAGAAGGAATAAAGATAACAGAATTGCACCACTCAAACTGTTGATCAGTTCTCCAGGGTACATTCTCTAGCTCTAAAGATGAGAACCAAGTTTCAAGTAATTTTGCATTCCACAGGTCCACAGAGTTAATCAGGTATGTCTAGTCAAGCGTCCTACGTGACCATATACACCGTCAGTGTGTGCTTGAACACCAAAGTGATAAAAAGAATTGGATTATTAAGACAGTCCCCTCATTCAGCCCACTGCTGAATGGGGCAGAAGACCCCAGTAGAAAATGACATGGAAAATGCTAAGGGACTCAAAACCTTCTTAATCTCAGTAAAGCCATTAAAACGGGGCTTTAGGAATCTTAGGCCCCTGTGACCACAGGAAAAATCTGGATCAAGGAACACTTGCCCTTAGTGGAAGAGGACCAAGCAAAGAGCATTTAAACAAACTGGACATATATAAGTCCGCTGGTGCCTGACAGGGTGCACCCAAAAGAGCTGATGGAGCCAGCCAATACCACTACAAGGCCACTCTCAATAATCTCTAAAAGGTCACAACAATTGGGAGAGATTCCTGAAGACTGGAAGGAACCAAGTGTCATTCCTATTATCAAGAAGGACATAAAGGATGATCCAGGGAACTGCAGGCTTGGCTAGCCTAATCTCAGTCTCCAGGAAGGTGATGGAGTAAATAACCCTGGAAACCATTTCCAAACACATGAAGGAAAACAAGATGACTGAGAATTGTCAGCATGGACTTATGAAGGGGAAATCCACCCTGATGGAACCCAGTAAGACAATCACAGACTCTTGAGTAGGTACACTTCAAAAGACTGAGAGAGTAAAAATACAATAGAAAGTTAAGGAACAATTCCTGTCCTACCAAGAGTTAAGATCATACTAATGCATCTTTTCTATAAGGGAATCTTTGTAATGTAGAAAGGAGGAAGTTTCTCACTATTTCTGTGAGCAACACTGAAACAAGTCTAAATAAATCTTTTCTTGCTTTTAATTCAGGCCAGTGCCTGGTTCTGCTATTATTTGAACGAGGAGGGTGCAAGGTACTTAAGAGAAATGCTTGAGGTAAGAAAATCTGCAAATCAGTTCCCTGACTGAAAACTATCTGAATTCCTCACATAGCACACATACTGTTCAGAGGAAACATTTAATTGCATAAGGGAAAGACTAGAAAACTGCATCACTTCTTTTAATTATACCCATTAATTAAATACACACCAGCCATAAAAGTGAACTTTGGGGAAATACTGCATAAATGTGCGTGGTGTGGAGAGGTAGAAAAATCTGAATCTGTATCTATCCAATATATCAGATATATTACAGTCATTCTCATAGTGGTGCAAACAGTCAGAAAAACCTGGCTGCATAAACCCACGACTTTGGACATATCCCTACTGAAATCAGTGGTGCTTGTTTACACAAGTATTACAAAGATGGACTGCTTAACCAAGTATTATAAAGATTCCTGTTAAGACTTGAGGAATAATTGAGGTGATGGAACATCTTATCCTTGGCACTGTCTCTAGGCATATCAAGGATAAGAAGGTTATTAGGAGGAGTCAGCATGACTTTGCCGAGGGGAAGTCATGCTTGACCAACTTGATAGCCTTTTATGAAGACATAACCAGGTGGATGGATGGTGGCCATGCAGTGGATGTGGTCTATCTGGATATCAGCAAGGCATTTGACACCGTCTCCCACAGCATCTTCATAGCTGAACTGAGAAAATGTGGTCTGGATGACCCAGTAGTGAGGTGGGTCACTAACTGGTTGAAGGGAAGAAGTCAGAGAGTTGTAGTCAATGGGGCAGAGTCCAGTTGGAGGCCTGTATCTAGTGGGGTCCCTCAGGGGTCAGTGCTGAGACCAGTGCTTTTCAATATATTCATCAATGACCTGGATGTGGGATTAGAGAGCATTGTCAGCAAGTTTGCTGATGACACAAAGCTGGGAGGAGTGGTTGACACACCAGAAGGCTGTGCAGCCGGAGGGCTGGGCAGGGAGAAATCATATAAAGTTCAACAAGGGCAACTGTAGAGCTTTGCACTTGGGGAAGAATAACCCCATGTGCCAGTATAGACTGGGGACCGACCTGCTTGAGAGAAGTGTAGGAGAAAGGGACCTGGGGGTTCTAGTTGACAGCAGGAGCCAGCAATGAGCCCTCGTGGCCAAGAAGGTCAATCGCATCCTGGGGTGTATTAGAAGGGGAGTAGCTAGTAGGTCGAGAGAGGTCCTCCTCCCCCTCTGCTCTGCCCTGGTGAGGCCACATCTGGAATATTGTGTCCAGTTCTGGGCCCCTCAGTTCAAGAAGGACAGGGAACTGCTTGAGAGAGTCCAGTGCAGAGCCACAAAGATGATGAAGGGAGTGGAACATCTCCCTTATGAGGAAAGGCTGAAGGAGCTGGGTCTCTTCAGCATGGAGAACAGGAGGTTGAGGGGTGACCTCATAAATGTTTATAAATATACCAAAGGGGAGTGTCAGGAGGATGGAGCCAGGCTCTTTTCAGTGATGTTCAATGACAGGACAAGTGCCAATGGATACAAGCTGGAACATAGTAGGTTCCACAAAAATACTAGGAAAAACTTTTTCACTGTGAGGGTGGCAGAGCACTGGCACAGGCTGCCCAGGAAGGTTGTGGAGTCTCCTTCTCTGGACACATTCAAAACCCACCTGGATGCATTCCTGTGTGACCTACTGTAGGTGATCCTGCTCTAGTGGGGAGGCTGGACTAGATGCTCTTTTGAGGTCCCTTCCAAGCCCTGACTTTCTGTGATTCTGTGAATAAAGTAGTATTACTTTCTCATAACAATTATCTGAGAAAAAGCCACTTAGTAGAAGGTAGGTTGGTCAAACTGAAGTTTTATGTCTGAAGTCTACTAAAGGTTCCCCAGAAACACAACCATCACTAGATTAAAAGCAGATGAATCTACTGAGAGCAGCATTACTAAGACAAAATGTAAGTGCAATGAACATCTCTGCACATGAACCTGCAGGTGACTCCCAATTACACGGCAGGTTGAGATGACTGCTATCGTATGGGAGAGGTTAATGCATTCTCTGCAGACGTGAGAACTGCAAACAGAGACTCCATATGGTTGTTTTTGTGCCCCTATGCCTGTTCCCCTGATACCAGACTATATAGCTGAGTCACTGGACTCCAGTTACCAAGAACCTGTGGGCAGGAATAGGAATGGCACGCCTCCTGAAACAGCATAAAATCTTCTCCCACTCTTAATTCGATCTCAGCTATGTGCATAACATTTAATCTAAAACATTTACACAGCAAAGTCCTCTCCTTCTCCCATGAGTAACAGCACTTGCTTGAAGAAATGGACCAACACTTGATTCTCCCCCGTTTCAGGCCTTGGACTGTTGCTATTACCTCTAGAGCACAGAACACTGCATGAGGGAAGGACTGCTGTCATGCTCACACATGCCGCGTTTCTTTTCATACCCAGTCTTCACAGGTGTAAAATACTAATCTAAGAGTGAAATGCCACTAGCAGCCAGACATGTAATCTGCAGAAAGAATGCAAGCTCTCTAGAACTCTTCCCCAGCTAGAGACATGTATATCTGAAAAGCACTTCCCCTGAAAGTAGCTTTGTTTATATTTCAATTAAAAACATGCTTTTTGAATATATCAGCTATGTCCTCTCTATTGTCTGATGCGGAGTCCACACTCACTGGTCAGCTGTTAACCCTTTAGCTCAGAGCAATCTCATAGCTTCTACAGGATTTCTGTATGCATGGTACAAACTCCCCTGGTATGTTTGCTGCAAAACATGGGTGCTTCTGGCTGTAGGTCCCTACTAAACCTACACCATTATATCTGTGAGAACACTGACTTTTAAAATGCAGCTCCCTAGGTTAAAGCGATATGATGAACCCAGGATCATTCATGTTCATGTCTCCTCATGCACCCGGTCAAATCTGCATATCTACATTTACAATCACTGATCATCAACTTTACAGGCAGAGAGGAACCAGACTCTTTGTATCACACACTACTGAAAAGTGACATTCAGGAAGAAAACAAATACTATTGTGCCCACATGCAAGGCAGAAAAATATCCAGCTTACTTTTCTACTGTCTCACTTGGCAGTAAAGGGGAAATACTTGTGAAGTATGAAACCATCTTTCAGTTATAAGCAGGAACTCCTACATGTGCCTGGGACACCTGACACATAAAGTACCATGCAGATTAACTTCTACATTGATCCACTAAATCTGTTACCAAAAAAAATTAAATGCAACCCCGAAAAAATCCACCAAAAAACCGCAGTGACTTAACCCATGCCATGGTCCAGAAAAAAGATAAGTAAAAATGTTCCTTTTCCTCTTTCTTGTAGCAGCTGAAAGGCAAAATAACCTCAGAGGAAACAATGATCCAACAATGACCGAGATGTGAAAGGAACAGTCATCCCACTATCAGCCCTTGTATTTTAGCAGTTTCTCATACATTCCCATCTTTGGAGTCCTTTTAGTGAATAGGTGATAGCTAACCTGCATTGCATGAGTTTGAAAAGTCCTGCCAAGATCCTCAGTTACATCTTTTGGGAAAAGGGAGCTCTAATTCACTTTCTACTCCCAAAACTCTGAGCTAACCACCCCTGAACTATCTCAGGGCAGCCTAAATGCTGAATAAACACAGAAAAGCATATTGCTTTAAAGTAAGCCAAAGTAACCAAGCCACTGCTAGCCCCAAAGAGCAGCTGAAAGATTAGAAGCTTTGTGCAACACTTTGAAATTTCATAGTCTATTGATGGCTTCAGAAACGATGAAAAAACCCAGCCTAATGAAAGACTTT